TCCTGGCTGTGTGACCTTGGGAAGGTCACCAAGCCTGTGACTGTGCCCACGTCACCTGTATGCTGTATGGCCGCAGTGACACACACACTGTCTCAGTCAGTGACACACACTCTGTCTCAGTCAGTGACACCCTGTACCCTGGTGCTCTTCGTGTCAGGTTAGGAATTCCAGAAACTCCATGCTGATGGCTCATGACGAACATTTTTCCACCATATGAGCCTACGTCACCCTCAAAAATGGTGCATTTTCCTCTCGTGGACTGAACCAAGCCAGTAACAGCCTGTATAGCATCCCCGGAGGGGAAGGTGTCCTGCCTGCAGAGCATAGGGTGAGCATAGTGCCACGGGAGCTCTGCGGGAAGACAGAGGAAGGGCGCCGGGGAAGTGGCAATCCAACTGTAGTCAACGCCTCTGAGTTAGTAAAAGCCTGCCCAGAACCCCTGGCTGCAGCTATGAGAAGATGCGATGCAGGAGGAGGAAGATGTGTGAAACATGTCACTGTGCCTTGTCCTCTGCTCTGGAGAAAGCTCCAGGGATCAGCTCAGCTCACTCCTGCCTGGGCACCCTTTTCTGGATGCCTCTACAATGCTGCTCGCTCTGAGTTGGAATCAACTCTGTGGCAGGATGCTCGGCCTTGGAGCGCCCTCTGCTGTCCAGGACTGAGGGTGCAAGCACCGAGGACGCCAATCTGGGTGGCACTGTGGGTTAATGCGCTGGACTGCCATGTCGGTTTGAACCACAAGGTCAGGGGTTCAAGCTCACCAGCTGCTCCTTGGAAACCCTATACAGGGTTGCTATTGGTCAGAACCGACTCAATAGCACACAACAACAATAGCATGGGATCCCACAGCTTCAGTCAGGCTGAAAAGAAACCAAAAAGTAACACGCAAACTCACTGCCGTCAAGTCAATTCCGACTTATTGCGACCCTAAGAGGAAGAGTCGAACTCCTCCATAGTTTCCATGGCTGCAATCTTGAGCAAATATATCAATCTGAGGACTAAGGTATGTCTGATCCAAGCCATTGTATTTTCAATTGCCTCTTATACATGTAAAAGTTGAACAATGAATTAGGACGATCATAGAATTGACGCATTTAAATTATGGTGTTGGAGAAGAATATTAAAAGTACCACAGAATTCCAACAAACAAATCTGTGTTGGAAGAAGTACAGCCAGAATGCTCCTTAGAAACCAGGATGGCCAGATTTCATCTCTAGTACTTCAGGAGGAAGACCCTCAAGGAGATGGACTGATAAGAGTGCCAACAGCATGGGCTCACGTAACTGATATGAGGATGGCGACGGCTGTGCGGTATTTCTGTGTCAAAAGTCAGTGGACAGGACCTAACAACAGCAACAACCTTTACGGAAGCAGACGGTCACATCTGTGTCCCGGTGGGTTTGAACTGCTGACCTGGTTAGCAGCCAATAGCTTAACCACTGTGCCACTAGGACTCCTTGCAGGCTGAAGGCAGCCCTTTAAAGGCACCTCACCCTCTCTCTGGGGTTGGCACGGTGGTTCTGGGTCAAGACAGACACAGAAGCATAAGTTAGCCACACCTCCCTTGGGGACAGTTTTGGAGCACTCACAACAAATCCCCCCTAGGAGCCTCGGGACTGTGTGGGGTTGAGGGGCCCCATGCGGCCCCCTACCTGTGCCCAGCTTCTCACAGAGGTGCCCACCCCCAGTGTCACTGTAGGAATGTGAAATAGTAGAGCTGCTGTGGATAACAGCCCGGCACATCCTCAAAAAGTAAAAATAAAATGAACTGACCCAACCATCTATTCCTAAATATCTACTTAAGAGCAATGAAAATGTAGGTCGCATGAAGACTTGTGCACAGGCAGCACTATTTACCACAGCCAAAATGAAGCAACCCAAGTGTGGACCGTACAGATGGGCAGACACGGTCAACGTGGTTAAGTCTGAACAGTGAGCCAGGAGGTAGCCAGAAAGAGGAATGTAGTACTGATACATACACCCGAATGAGGTGAGTGAAAACAGCCAGCCAAGACCAATGGGGCATGATTCCACCACAGGCAAATACACAGTGAAGCCGGTTTCTGGTTGTGAGTCTCATGTGCTGAATCTTTCATTCGCCAATCTCTCAACGTTAAAACCAGAAAAACCTACCCACAGTCACTGCGTCAATCCCAACTCAGAGACCCCACCAGAGTAAGGGATCTGAGACTAAATCTTTATGGGAGCAGACAACCTCATCTTTCTCAGGAAGAGTGGCTGGTAGGATTGAACTGTCAATCTTTCAGTTATTAGCCCAGTGATTAATCCACTGCACCACCAGGACTTGTTAAGCGCCATCAAGAAAAAGATCAGCCTTCTGCTCCCGCAAAGATGTAGAGCCTCAGCAAACCTATGCAGGGCACGTCACAACATTTAACTTCTGTCACCCGAGAGCTCCTGGGTCCACACTGAACTTGACTTTCCTGACACGACAAACGTAACGTATTTAAAATAAAACCCGTATCCTCCCCACCCTCCACAAAAAAAGATCCCAACCCCCACCTTTCCTAGCTCAATAAATGACGCCATCACCCACTCTTGTAACTAACCCTGCAGCCCTGGCCGGGGCCCACCACCACCATCCCTCTCCTATCCTCTGCAGTAACCTCTAGACGGTTCCCAGTCCAGCCTCCTCTCCACCGCCTCTCACAACATCACTTGCTCTTCAAGCAAGAAAGTCTTGAAGGTCAACAGTGACTGTAGAGACCAACACTGATTTGTGGCAAGGGGGACGGACTGTCGGTGATGGGAGAATGCCATTGGTTGGGGTACAGCTGCACAACCAAGGACTGTAATTGAAGTCAACAAGCTGTTGTTACATGCCGTGGAGTCGGTTCCCACTCATAGCAAGCCTGTACCGGGTTTCCAAGGCTGTAAATCTTCACGGGAGCAGAAAGCCTCGTCTCACTCCCGTGGAACAGAAGGTAGTTTTGAACTACTGACCTTGCAGCTTGCAGCCCGATTCATAACCATTACGCTACCAGAGCTCCTTCAGTAAGCTGTACCCCTGTAAAAAGTTTAACTGGCAAAAAGTATCACTCCATTTAATCCTCTCAAGATATCAGTATTTCATATTTTGAAATCATGTGTATTCTTCAATAAAAAGCATTTTGAAATAAATGGGAAGAAATGGAACTAAACAGATTTTGATCTAGTTAGTGGGACGCATATGTCCAAAGGGGTTTCTGGTGCTGGGAGTTGCTGGAATGAGGCCCGTTTCTTCAGCTTCCTCCACCAAGCAGCAGCACACACTAAAGTTGGAATAGGTACTTCCCACCAAACTGGGGCGGAAAATGTCAGCGAGCACTGTATGTTCCCTGGGTCAACAAAGGATTACTGCACCCACCGCTCACCTTGTGGGTCCCCAGCTTCTCCAGCAGCTGCACTCTCCCCATACAACTTCTCCTCAGAGTGCCTACCCATTGGCCTACTCAGCTCCCTGAACAAACCCCGCTTTTCTCCATGTCCACAATTCTCACAGGCCACCCCCAGGGCCACGGGAAAGCCTGCATGAAGGGCTACTTCGTAGTCTCCAGGGCTTCTCAAACCACCCTCCGATTGTTCCCAACCTTAAGAGAAGGTGGCCTTATGCTTTCTTGACTCACCAGTCTCTCTCACTAGAATGTGAGCCTACGAGGGGGCCAGTTGTCATGTTCACCATGGTGTCCCCATGACACACATGATCAATGTCAAGTAACCTCTGGATTAAGGACAGTAGGCTGGGCCCCTTCTCAAATTCACAGTAAATGACAACAGCATATGCTTATCAATGGCACACACCCACCAGGAAGAATAGCAGAGCAGTCACACTCTGGACTGGGGAGACTGATGTACAAGTGGCAATTGTCTCAACAAATTCGAGAGCAGGTTCCCAAGCAGTAAGAGGGGAGGGCTACCAAGACCAAATCCTTCCACAGAAGCCCGGGCTCAGAGGCTGAGCTGGGAGCTATTTAAGGCTAAAGCAGCTTGGCAGTCACTAGATGACCCTGTAGTTCAAACCACCTACCAGCTTTGCTGTAACCAAGTCACTCGGCCTCCCAGGCTCCGCTGCCCTCTGGGGACTGAAGGAACTGCAGCGCCCACTGCAGGGATCCATGGACAGTTATGAGGCAGAAGAGCCAGGCAGGAAGGAGGGGCAGACTAACCTTGGGGACTGGTAGCAGGAACAAAGTGCTGGAAGCAGCACTGTCCCCGTGCTTCTAGCAGGACTCCAGGCCCCAGAGCTCCAGGCATCTCCTTTCTTCCCCAGGGCCCTTGGAGAACCAAAGACCAAGGGCCATCTCTACAGCAGCAGGAAGCCATCTGCTCAGCTTCCTGCTACCTAGCACCTGCCCTATGAAGCCTTCATAGGGCTCCGCTTCTTCTCCTTCCAGATGGCCTCTCAAGGGCCACTCTCCCAACCTTGCCTCATCTCCTGCTCCCCTCCTGCAGCTTTGATTCCAGGACTGGCTGAGCCTCCAGTGCCAGGGAGCTAGTGGACCCAGGATGATGTCTCATCTGGCCCTGATTTCAAAGAGATTAAAATTAGAGCAGCCTAAGAGAGGAGAGTCTTCATGCAGACCTCAGCCATGGGGCTCGGGCCTACCCAATCCTTGCCAGTGGGAAGTGTCCCACGAACAGTATAAAAATCTATTTAACTCTATTTCTTTCCATTTCATTTATTTCTGACTATTTGGTTACTATAGAAGAATCTTACCCTTTTGTGACAATCTCTTGTCAAAACCCGTCAGGTCCAACAATTACAAGTTTTGTATTTTAAATTTTGACATAGCCCTTTACACAACTTCAAATATACGATTTTTCTGTCATTATAAAACATATAAACAGATATTTATGTAAAGGCACTTACATGGGAGAATGCAACTGTATTTCAAACAAGAGACACACAGGATTTCAGGTAAACTGGTAATTTATTTGTATTATCACTGTTTTGTGTAACTGGTTAAATAAGCTCAGTTGCATGGAGGTTCACACACATCTTATTTCTTCCACTCGTTCTTGTCGTAGTCCCACTTGGCAGAGAACCCCTGGATGGGGCTGACCTTCATGTCCAGCATCCTCTTGGTCTGCTTGGCCACCCAGTCCTCCTCGAAGGTGTGTGGGAGGGGACCGTACACTGCAGTGCGGAACAACGGTGTGAGGCGAAGAAGGCAGGACCCATGGCAGCTAAGCCCATGAGCTAGGTCTCCCCAGACACTGGTCAGCCAAGCACCAGAACCAGCAGCCACATCCAACGCTCACACCAGGTACTCCACTCTGGGCAGTGACAGCTCAACATGTGGCACTCCCTTCCTTGTTTACAAAACAAAAGCAGATCACCTGCTCTATAGGAAGGCGCATGCAGGACCACTACACCACAGCTAACGTGGGAGACCAAATGTTATTAACCACCACCACATTCAAACCAAAACAATTATACTATACTACTCAGAGAGAGAAATGCCACTCACTGTGCCCAACAGAAAACCCTGAAAATGGAGCCCTAGAAACCCCGAGTCAGAAGCCCCAGAATGCTGGTGTCTGTGCCACAGTCTAGTAACAGGCCAGAATGAATGTCTCCTGAGGCACCGTCCCTAAGCCAGCATGGGTGGTGACTGGGTTCGCCGATCAATGCTATTGGCTGGGATGTGCCGGGGAAGTGGAAGTCAGCAGACTCTAGCTTACAAGCCTGTCCCCCCAAGGACTTTGGCAAACCTGAGTCCACAGCCTGAAGGCCACAGCACCAAGCATGAAGAGGGAACTGGTCCAGCTGAAGCCTCTCTCGAGGCACCGCTCCCTCTTCTCCACTCACCATAGTACTTCTCCCAGATCAGGATGAGTGCCGTGAAGCCGATGAAGAACAGGGCAGACCCCACAACTGTTTTCCACTCGTTGGTGCTTCGATTCATTTCCGCAAAGCTCTCATTGAACTTAATGCGGTACACTGGAACAGAAGAGAGCCGGTTCACAGGCAGTAGGGACACACAGCTCACGTGAGCAGGGGGCAACGGGGCACAGGTGGCGGACAGCACAGAGGGCATCCTCTGCTTGTGCATGTGCACACACGCTCACTCACAGGGCTTCAGACACACTCAGGCACACAGTCTCACACACACGGCCTCACACCCACTCAGACACAGGGTCTCTCACACATGGGTAGTCACGGTTTTTCATACATGGTCTCATAGATGCTCTGTCACACATATACACACAAAAGGTAAATGAGAGGCGACGAAGCATGTGGGTTTGCTTTGGATGAAAAAAAACACTAGAAATTTTTCTTTAAGTTATGGTGTGAAGTCCCATCGACTCATGTTGTTCTCATGTCTCCTTCACTGTGATGGGTGCCTGCTAATCCTCCTTCACTAACAGACAACATACAAACCAGAACACAGCAACAAACCAAAGGCTGCATCCACACATTCAATCCTGCCCCCAGGGCCTGCTCCTCAGTGTGCACACACATGGGCACGAAGCTCTGGAAGTGCAGAGAAAAGGGCCTTGGTGAGGATCCAGCCAGCAGGCAGAGATGGGGCCACTGAACACAACACACCAACCCTGTGCTGTCCACAACACACACACAAACTCTCCCCTCCTCCCAGACACTTCCTAGTGATGCCCAGCAAAATGTACTTTTAACAAAACAAATCACAACCAGCATCTCTGCAGAAGCACACTCCGCAGAACATTTCATAACCTGTTCCTAAAAGTCCTAGGTAGCAGGGACTGTAATTATTACAGAGATGATTACTAAGGTCCAGGGTCACCTGCTAAGGGCACATAAGGAGGGTGGAGCTTGGGCACAGAACCAGGCACAGTCCCGGTACACACGCATTGCAGTTGTCAGCTGTTACTGCATGCCCCAGGAGCCTAGGCTGACCCTCACTGCAGCCAAGTGTCCTCCCCAGGCGTGCTGAGGCCAAGGAGACTGGCTGTTGTCAGCCAAACAGCTGGAGGCTGGCTCACAGGAGGATTTTGGTGAAGATCAAACCAGCAGCCGTGATGACAGCTACAGGCCTCAAGCTGTCAGGGGCTCAGGACAAAACCTCTGTGGAGCCAGGAGAAGCCCCAAGTTAACCTTTCAGACAGGAGGAGCTGAGGCCCGGAGAGGTAACAACCTCAGTCAATGTAACACAGCTGCATAACAGGTCCCAGACCCGGTTCATCCTCAACCAGAGGCTTTCCAGTGGCGGGGATTCTAACTAACAAACCTCACTTCCAGAAGGGACAACAGAACAAAGAATCCTGTGTGGCCATGTGTCCCTCCCTATATGATCTACAGTAAAATCTGGATGGGCTCTCTTCTTCAATGTCTCTGACATGGCGGTGGCAGATTTAACAGTGGGACAGACTGAAGCACGTAGTCTCTTAGTCTCACATCTAGAGAGCAGCCATTAGGTAACAATGAGTTCCTAAAGAGCCATGGTTACGCACTGGGCTTTTAACCGCAAGGTCAGCAGTTCAAATCCATTAGCCACTCCAATAATGAGGCTGACTGCTCCCGTAAAGGCTTACAGTCTCAGAAACCCTACAGAGTCCCTCCAAGTGAGAACGGACTTGATGGCACTTGGTCTGGTTTTTGTTGTTTGTCTGAACTGCTGTTGGTAGGTACCACCAATAAGTCGGCTCAGACTAATAACAACGCTGTGTAGGGTTTCTGAAACAGGAGCAGAAAGCCTCATCTTTGGTGGGTTTGAACCGCGAACCTTATGGTTAACAGTCCCATGCTTATCCTACAGAGTCACTAGGGCTCCTAAGCTCCTATCGAGGGTGATGGTGGCGTTGTTAAGTGCTGTTGAGTTGACTCCGACTCATAGTGACCCTGTATAGGGTTTTTGAGAAGCGGATGGTGGGTTTGAACCACCGACCGTGTGGTTATCCATCCAGTGTTTCTCCTACAGCAGCACCCCAGGACTCCACTGAGGCTGAGAGAGAAACAGCTCGATGAATTGTATATGAGAAGAATGCGGAAGGGCCTTCAGCTCACATACATGCACCAAGAAACCATAAACCAGCTTAATGAAAACCTCTTCCTCCCCCTCAGAAGCACTTGCTTTCTCCCTACCCCTAAAAGCAACAGGAAATCAACCATTTCCAATCCAGGCCAGTGTTGTGGGTGGACCACATACATCCTACACAGTCATCCCCAGTCATTATCTGTTAACCTGGTCACCAGCTAGGTCACACTAAGCCAGGACTAGAATCTGGGGCCCCTGGTTGCCAGCTACTCTCCAGTCCACACCCCAGCCTCCCCTCAGAAACGCTGCCGGACACACCTGATCCAACTTGTGTGTGTGTGTGTGTGTGTGTGTGTGTGTGTGTGTGTGTGTGTGTGTGTGAGAAAGAGAGAGAGAGAGAGAGTGAGAGACAACATCTGATCATGATGTCCTTCCCTTCCAGCTCCGCAGATGCTACGGGCCAAGTGAAAAACGGAGATTTTCCTGTCTAACAGACTGCACCCCATAAATACCCACATTCTATTTTCTCATCGATGGAAAGGGTGCTCCAAGCAGCCTTCTCCTTCTCCTTCAGGGCCTTCTGCTGGGCAGAAAGGGTCTTGACGTGAGCCACATCAGGCAAAGGGTAGTCCCGCCGGTCGACATAGACTGGGAGAGCATAGTCTTCGGACTTTACGACACTTCCTAAAAGATAAGTGAACAGATATTGTAGAATTCATGTGGGCCGGGAGTCACAAACAAGGCAGTACTTGTAAAATCAGAAACCAGCCCATGGGGGTGCAAATACTGCAAACTTCAGCCCTTGCAGGGCCAGTGGCTGCTTTTGTCAGACTAAAGGGACAGGGAGCAGACTTGGCCTGTATGGGCCCTAGAGAGCAGAACAAGGTTGGTGGGTAGGCAATTCACAGGAAGCTCTTCCTATCACAGCAAACAGAGGCTGCCAGTCATTAATTGTCAAGGAACACAGACCCAGCTCTACTGACTTGGCACACTTCCCACCAGCGAAAGCGTTCACATGGGTTGCCTATCCTGGACTCAAGTTGGGACTAAATGAAGGACCTTTGATTGAGGAAGAACACTGAGATACACAATTCATAGTGGGAGTCCTAGTGTGGTGCTGCAGGATAAACAGTGGACTATTAACCACAAGGTCAGTGGTTCAAACCCACTAGATACTCCTCAAAACCTTTATACCGGGTCATTATGAGTCGGAACTGATTCCACAACACTTCACAACAACAAGATTCAAAACCAACATGTGAAACAATGGTCCCTGCCGCAACAAAAGCACCTGGGACAGTCTGTATCCAATAGAGGCTGAGGGAGGGGACCCCATCATCTCCTTAGAAACTGTGGCATGCAGTCACTTACTCATTCATCCCACAAATACAGGCCAAGTACCTACTTGGCCTCTGTGCTGTACACGGGTCCAGTACCCGGGGCCATCAGCAAAGCAATCCAGGAAGCCAGGTACAGGAAACCCACTCCAGAAGCAAAAAACATTAAACACAGCAAGGGGGCTTCAAACAATTCATGGGAAAGTCCCATCATGTTTTAATTCCACTTTTCCATGTTTTTTTTTAAGCTCCCTGGCATACTCACATGCATACGTAAGTACACAAAGTCCTGGAAAAGGAAACCCCAAGTTGTGCATATGTGTCAACAAGAGGGGATGAGCCGGCCAGCAGAGAAGACAGACCTATCCCTTCACATAGTATTCCTCCCTTGCTTGGAGCTGTTTCTTCAATTCTTTCCAACCTATGCAAGAACACCGTGTCCCAAGCTTCAGGGAAGGTAATACAGGTTCTGCAAAATGAAAAATGCTTCCCCTCTACTACACAGCCCTTGTTATTAAATCTCCCAAATTGTGCTAATAGGGAAAAACCTTAAAGAGCTATCATTTCTCTAGCCACTGAGTGTACCCACGTTAAGTGGCTAAGGAACTTCCAGCTCTACCCAAGCTCATGCCCCAGTCTGTGAGGAAAAAATGGCTAGGATTAATTATGAATCAGGCTGCAAACCTCAAGGTCAGAAGCTCGAAAATATCAGCTGTTCTTCAGAAGAAAGATGAGGCTTTCTGCTCCCGTGAAGATTTATAGCCTCGGAAACCCTATACAGGGTCGCTATGAGTTGGAACCAACTCCACGGCACACAGCCACCACCACCATTCTATTAAAATGATGACTATAGCATAAAGAATGGCTGTATACTGTTATCAAGTTCAGCCTCTCCTCGCCAAAAAAGGGGACTCTTAAAAGAGTTTGGCGTCCTGGTGTGAGACTTTGGGTTAATGTACTGGACTACAAGGTCGGTTTGAACCGAAAGGTCATGGTTCAACCTCGCCAGCAGCTCCTCAGAAACCCTATACAGGGTCACTATGAGTCAGAATTGACTCAATGACACTGAACAACATTCAGTTGTTACAGACATTCAACTAACACATCAGTTATTAAAGAGACATCAACTAGGATTTTAAAAGTGTTCAAACACTGATTGTGGCGCAATGGTTCCCAGCTCTGTGAATAATTTAGGACCCCTAAATTGTACATCTCAATAAAGCTGCTATTAAAAAAAAAAAAAAAAAAAAAAACACTAGATGTAAATTCCCATAACCTGAGAGAGGTCTATGTCTGTGGTTGCATTTTCTAGAGCAGAGCTGGTCAACCATGGTTTTAAGGCAGCCAAGGGGCCTTCCTTCAGGTCTAGTCTCCAAACAAACACAGGGTGAAAGCTAGCACATCAAATGGTCCTTCAGGAAAAGAGAGATCCTCTGAGGGTCTTCCACACTGAGGAGTGTGTGCAGCTACTGATATAGCTTGGTGAACTCACACTCCCTCAATGAGATGAGTCCCGGCACAAAGACTCAGGCTACAGTGACTTCGAGGGGGGCTCCTGTTCTAAGATTTCATGAGAACAGGTGTGCACTTTCAAGCATGACCTGTACAGTAAGTTAAAAATCAAAGGACGAGATGTGCTCAGTGGACTGCAGTTTCTCGCATTTGGCTGCCTACTGTGTGTTGGAGTGGGACAAGCAAGATTCCTGGCCTCAAGAAGTATACACTCGAGGCAGCAGATGACTCACAGATGCACAGGCAAACACCATGTGTCAGATGGTATATGACAGGGAGCATCTTGGGAGGTAGATGGCTCACGGTTGAAAGAACATTTCTACCAATAGTGAGTGACTGCAAAGATTAGCAGTCAACCACAGCTCTGAGGAACAAAATACAGCTGGGGTGCTGTGGTAGTGAGCTAGTAGGAGAGACAGTCTTAGGCATTAATTTTTTTATTACTATATGAGGAAAGCAGAAAGGAAGACAAGACCAAGTAGGTTTTACTCAATGAGACGCCATCGGAGATTTCATTCAAGAGCGGAAATGACTTGCTTTATTTTCCTTGCTGAAAACCTAATGCCTAATGAATAATCCATGGCTATCATGCCACACTAAACTGGCTTCCTAGAAGAGTTTAGAATGATCACAAAGGGGCACAAGGAAGTTCTGGGCATGATGGAGATGCTCTATGCTCCAACTGTGGGAGCAGTTACTCAACTGAGTAAGTGGATCAAGATTCACAAACTACCAGACCAAGGAAAGGTAAATTTTGTATTCTCTACATTATACCTCAAATCAACAACAACAAAAAGGCTAAGGAAATATTAATATGGCCAAATTAGAAACAAATCAATCTTTTTTGTTAACTAAATTCCTAGGCTTTTATTGGAGTATTTCTTTCAACATATAAACAAGTCATTTTTTATTATCCACTTATTTATTAGTGGTTGTTAAGTGCTGTTGAGTGGGTTCTGACTCATAGCAACCCAAAAATATAGGGTTTTCAAAGAATGGCTGGTGAGTTTAAACTGCCAACCTTGCAGTTCAAATCAACCTTGAGGTCAAGTGCTTATCCTATGGAGCCACATCAAGACTCCAATTGACTGATACAACTAATTTAATGACGCTCTTACTAGAATTGTCAGGGAAGTTTAAGGAATAAGAATAAGATAGTACCTTCAGCTGTAGACTAAGCACTTGACTGCTAACCTGAAGGTCGGCAGTTCAAGCCCACCAGCCACTCCTTGGAAGCCTTATATAGACAGAGTCACTATGAGTTGAAAGAGTTGAAGGCACTCAACCACGACCACCACAACTCAAGACCAAGACCATAAACTGAGAGGTCACATTTAAAGCAGGCGCAGGGAATAGCGGTCGAGCCTTCCAGGGCCAGGCCACCCCCATGCTGACTCCATTTTCATTCTCTTGCTTTTCCCTTTGCCTGGGACAACCGTCTTCTTGTGAGGCTAGAGTTACTCCTCCTCCTCTTTCCTAAACTTCCCTCTGGTGCTGCTATACCTCCTCTCCAGGCGGCAAACATTCCTACCTCATATGCTTTTCACTCTCAGGCCTAACAACAGGTGTGTTGTACAAAGAAGGTGCTTGATCGATGCAGAACTAAACGTGCCATGCACAACAGTAAGCTCTTTATATACATGAGGCAGCTGCCAAGAATTCATGGACAAACTCCAGTATCTTTCAATTCCGCTTACCCACTAACTTTCTGAAGCTTCCTTCTATCTCAAGTGAAAAACGAGATTCCTAAATTAAGCAGCTTGTCCAAGATAGAATGAAAATGTAAAGCCAGCATCATCAATAAAGTCCACCTTCGTCACTTCCACTGTCCCTACAATGTAAACCGTATTCAAATGGTTTGGAAGTTAACTGGCAGGAAAAGATCACTAAGGTCAGGTATGGTGAAGAAAGGGAGCAGGGTGTCTCTGTAGGGTAAGTACTGGACTAAGCACTAACCCCAAGATCAGCTGTTCGAGCCCACCAGCTGCCCTGTGGGAGAAAGACGAGGATTTCGGCTTCTGCAATGATTTACAGCCTTGGTATGAGTCAGAAGTGATTTGATGGAATTTAACAACATGGTGGAGAAAATCTTTTGAATGGGGTAAAACTTGAGCTGAACCTGAAAAAACTGGTAAGAAAAGAAATTGGGAGAAAAAACAGTATAAGCAAATATTTAACATGATTCCTAATACTTCTGAATCCAGAACCAATGCCCTACTGAAATCTTTACAAGCCACTTCAAATTCTCAACACCAGGGTCAGTAGCTCAGTCAACTTTGTTAGAAAATCCAGAACCCCAAGAGAGGGCTTTATATGTAACAGAGCAAAAACGAAATGTGTTCAGCTTATTTAAAAGTTAAGAAAATTATACTCACCGTGCGCTCGCACACACGCGGAGGTGGAAATGGCTCGCTTGCCGATGAGGCTCAACACCCTGGTAGACAACATTCTGAAAAATAAACACACACGCCTTCTCCATGAACGAGGGCAAATATCTAACAGAAACTGAGGCTTCTCTCTGTCCCAATGCTTCTGGGAAGCACATGTAATTCTTTGGCTTTTCAGCTTCTTCCCATCATAAACAATCCATTCTTTATCACTAACTCTGAACTCACAAGATAAACCAGGATGAGGCTTAGTTTTAGCCAACTTCCTTATAAACCAAAAGCCATAATCAAGGCATCAGAGACTTAGCAGAAAATTAACCTTTAAAAAAAAGTCGAGGAGAAGTGTAAAATGAGGCTTGGAGAAAGCCTGAGCTTCCAGGATGGACTCCAACATTTGGAAACAGCGACAGCTCACACGTACTGAAAGGCGCCGGTGGCGCGAGGTCAAGTGCTGTGAACAGCTAGGTGGGCGAACGATGTAAAAGCAGGCAGCCTCGGAAACCCTATGGGGTCGCTATGAGTCGGAATCAACTCGCCGGCTGCGGGGTTTGCTCGCTCGCTCGTTCGCAGGGAGCAGGGCAGACATTCAAATTCAACACAAGGTTCGTTGGAAACCTCATCCGAGCAATCGAGGGGAGTAACGCAAAAACGGCGTCCAGTTCCCGTGCATCGCTGACCATGATGACCCAGCCCACCCCAGCGCTGGTGATGTGCCCCGGGCGCCCAGACCCTGTCAGACTCGGGCTTCAGAGGCGCTACATTCTGACCGAAGTAGAAAGCCTCCTTTAAAGCTGGACCCTTCAACGGGCAGCGGACGACGCACTCAGATGAACGACCCCACGAAGAACAAACGGACGCAGGACGTCAGGGCCGAGCTGGCTCTTTTTCTCCTCGGGCCTGGTCCGCGCGTGGGCAGACCTCCCGGGAGCCCCGTTAAACCTGGGCGGCGGCGCCAAAACCGTTTGAAGAGCCGAGGGCTGAGCCTGCAGCGGAGACACCGGGCCCGCGACCTCGGCCAGCGGGCACCTCAAGGTCAGGGCCCGAAGCCAGTCTCGGGCCGCGTCGTGGCAGAAGAGGCCGGGCTGAGCGCCGCCGGGCGGCACCAAGGCCTGATCCCGCGGCCTCAGAACCCCAAGCCCTCGCGGGCGGGCCTCAATGTCACAGGGCTCCTCGGCCCAACTGCCGCTTCCCGCTCGACACCGGGCCGCCCGGCAGCTCGCGGGTGTCCGCTGGCTCCTCACCCCCCGACTCCCCTTGGCCTCACTGCGCGGCGCAGGCCACACTCCCTCTCACCTGCCACCGCAGTCCAGCTGCTATCCCGCCGCGACCGCCCTCTACGCCCCGGGTGTTCGCGACCGGAAGAGAACGAGACCGTACCGCGGAGCACCACGGGATAGAGAAAGACTCCGCCTCGCGCCCGGCTGCGCGGAGGTCACTGTGCACCGGAAGCAGGCGAGCGCAGCGGGAGTCGTAAAAAGCTGGGCCGCGTTGCTTTCCGGCAGACGCTGGACAGACCGCTTTCCGGCGAACATCGGGAGTAAGCTGCTTCAAGCTTTTCGGAGAAGGAAGGTGGTTTTTGAGTTCCCGAGGCCAGAACAGGGCTGACCTGTGGTGGCCTCCGTCAGCTGTGAGGCCGCGCCGAGGAGTCGCCGCCTCCTAGTCCTGCTTCTCCGTTGAGGTGCCGCGCGGCCTGGCAGCGGGGTCCAGGCCTAAGCCGCGCGGCCAGGGCCTCCCGGGGCCGCCCGGGCTCAGCATGCCCGGGGTGAAGCTGACCACCCAGGCCTACTGCAAGATGGTGCTGCACGGCGCCAAGTACCCTCACTGCGCTGTCAACGGACTCCTGGTGGCCGAAAAGCAGAAGCCACGTAAGGAGCACCTCCCTCTGGGCGGCCCGGGAGCCCACCACACCCTCTTCGTGGACTGTATCCCCCTCTTCCACGGCACGTTGGCCCTCACCCCCATGCTGGAGGTGGCCCTCACTCTGGTAAGCACTGGAAAGGATGCCTTTCCGCCCTCAGACATTCCCCGGCCCTCCCCTCGGCTTGGATCGGGGTTTCCGCGGCCCCAGGAGGGCGCCGGGGTCTCGGCACGGGCCGTCGCGGGTGTCTGGAGGCGCGTTGGGCCGGCCACGAGTGACCCATACCCCTTGTGTTCGCTGGGGGTTTCGAGTTTCGGGAAGCTGGTTTTTTCCGCGTCTTCCTGATCGGACGTTGGGTGCAGGCGTTGGGGCTCTTTAGGTGTCAGTACTTTTAGAACAGGGGTTCGGGCGCAGCTCGGAAGGCAGCGTTTGTACGTGGGCGGAAGACAGGTGAGGCGCCGCCGCCCTAACGGTGCGGAACGCTGGGAACGCTCTCCTTCAGGCCCGCCTCTGCGTGTGTTGGTTTGGGAAGCAGAATATGTACTTGTTCGGGGTCAGTGGTTTCACCTGGGTGCTTCCGCTGCAGGGATGCAGCGCAGGAGCCGCTCCTCCCGGCGCCGTCCGGCGTGTGCTAGCAGGCACTGGCTGACACCGGGTGACACCGGGAGGCAAGCATTTCACAGCCATCCAAGGTGGTTGCTGATGGAGTTTTAGGCGATCGTTTTTGCGGTATTGTGACCAAGGTCGAAAAAGCACCCTCTCTCAATTCCGGTGACTTGTTACAACCTTACCTGTAGCCTCTGACCACCTGCCTGAACTCAGGTCGTTGATTTTGAAGGTTTAACTGTGATGCTGGAGCCTTGGGGTGGCGCTGTAGGTTCATGCACCAGAATGCAAAGCCGTTTCACTGCAAGGTCGGCGGTTCAAGCTCACCAGCTGCTCCTCGGAAACCCTACCACTTAGACCACCCCCACCCCCCACTGTGATGCTCAGTCATAGGGGAGGTCCATTTTTGAAAGATCATAGGTTGATGTCCTTTCTCTAATTCCAGCTTCTTTATGATCACCGAATTACAACATCTGTACAAATTCCTAATCCAGAAATACGCCCTGTTGTGGCACTGCGGGTTAATGCGCTGAACTGCAGGGTCGGCAGTTAAACCTCACCAGCCGCTCCTCGGAGATCCTGTACAGGGTGGCGACAACAGTTAACAAGGTTACTGAGCACATCTTTGTCTACCTGTTAGAATTCAAGGGTCGTGTGGTTTTGTTTCCTATTGTACTTAGTTTTGTTCTTAGAACTTCATTTGGTAAAAGGTTCCTAAAAACTCTAATCAACACATAGTGACCCTTTGAGACAGCATAGAACTGCCCCTTAGGGCTTCCAAAGCTTCCTTTACAGAAGCCAACTGCTACAGCTTTCTACCACCGAGCAGCTGGTGGTGCCCACTTACCCCCAGGGCTTCCTAGTAAAGGTTGTTGTTAAATGCCTTTGAGTCCGTTTTGACTCTTAGCAACCCCATATAGAGTTTCCAAGGAGTGGCTGGTACACTTGAACAGCCAACCTTGCAGTCCAGTTCGCCATCAT